TGTTTCAAGTGAAAAAAGTAACAAAACATACTAAAAATTTAAACAAACAAACGTAAATGTCTCTCTTACAGAAGATTCATCCTCGGATGAAAATTTTTCAGATTATGTAGTCAACAAGACTAAAGAAAATTTTGGCACAGAAGATAATGTTGAATGATTCGAGTATAAAGAGAAGTACAGTTGTATAATGAAACAAGACAACATGAATACAATGTGTAAGATGTGATAAATGATTTCACGAAGAGTATTCAACCATTTTTGAATTTATGTTATGTAAGTTTTATAAGAGCAAAAGAAATAATTTTTCTTTCTGTTATGTACAAAATTTTTTTTTTTTTTCGTGGATCATAATAGCTAAAATCATGGATTATATCACTCGGACAGTGAGATGGTCTTTTACACGAGAAACAATCTCTCTTTCTTATCTTTTTTATAAATTTTAGAATTACTTTTTATAATTTTATAATTTTTCATATATCTAATATATATTGTTTTTAATTAATATCGGATGTCGATTAAATTTATAATGTATTGAAGCTTTAAAAAAAAATGGACCATCACTTATAGAACTATCATATATATATGTTTTATATACATATTTTATACTATCCTATATATATATATATATAGGATATGTATATATGTGTGTGTGTCTATATACATGGACTTTGAAGATAACAAAGTGAAAATCCAAATAAATCTTTCTTCGGTGACACGAATTTCCTCGTTTTCAGGTTTCAAACGAGAGTACGGAATCGTATGTAGAGGGAACAGTTAAGAGGAGGAAAAAAGAAAAGGGCTAGCTAACGTTGCAGCCAGAGGCGACAGTCGGTTCTTCGAAAAGGATAATTTCTCTAGGGACATTTGGAGAGCGAAGCCTGCGGCTTCGAGAAAGGAGTTATTATATCAGTTTTTATTCCTTCTAATGACACCCACTTACTATCTATCTTTTTCAAAACGAAATATCGCACCGTGTCTTACCGAAATACAGGATAAAATGAGAGAAAAGAAAATATATTTTCAAAGAAAGTGAATCTCATATCGATGAAAGAATAGAATTATGGATAAGTGATAATACAAGAAGAAGAAAAGTAATACAATAAGCATAGTATATGTAGCTTTTAAAGCAACATATTAACCATAATAAAAAAGTAAAATAGAGGGAGAGAGAAAGAGAAAGAGAGCGAGAAAAGGAAATTAAAAAGAAATTCCTCATTGAATTTCTTCTTTCGTTTCCTTTTTATCGCATATTCGAGAACGGAGTTCGAGATAATCGAATCGTTTTCGGATTCAAATATTGGAGAAGTTATCTCAGAAAATAATCAGAGTTTACCAGTTTTCACATTCCGATTAATCGTGCGAAAGTCATTCGTTATCGAATTCCGATTTTTCTATTATTTTACCAAAGGGCTGTTGAACCGGCAAACGAGTAACCGGAAGTCATTTGTAATTTTTTATTTCTCGCGAGTGTCTTGCATTCTTTATCTTTTGAAATAACTCTGATAAGAATTTACACTTACCGGTCTTTCGTGTCTGGGTGTGTTTCGTTATTTTAAGTTGAAAGCCGCGAGAAAAATTGTGAGTCGTTTCCAGAAAGAGAGAAAAAGGGAGAGAGAGAGAGAAAGAAAGAGAAAGAGAGAGAGAGAGATTTATAGATGTCCGTTGTAAAAGAGAAAGGTAGTTCTCTCAACGAAATGACAAAATATCTTGAAAGTTCGCGATTCGTTGCTTTCAGCTCGCACGAATTTTAGTTCTCGAAATCTCGAAATTTTGCTTTCTCTTAATTTTCTTTGATTTCTGCTTTTTTTTTGCAGTTGTTGTTATTATTATTATTGTTATCATCTGACAAGTTCAAATTAATGTTCCGAGGTGTGCTTTACCCGGTACGGATCGTGTTCGAATTTCGGATAATGCCACAAAGTTCTACGTTCCAAGGACGAAATATCGAGATACGAGGCAGCGTGTTCGGCGTGACGATTCGTTTTCTCATCCGTAACTCCATTGTCCTGGATGTTTCTCAAGGAACGTGGCCGAATGTAGAAGGAAGGAGGAAAGAGACGGAAGGAAAATGAAGGAAGGCGCCTAGAATTGAGGAGACCGAAGGAAAAGGGAAAGCTTATTCGGGGGGAATAAGAGTCTTGGAAGTTCGACAATAGTTGGTGATGGCTGTATTCGAAAGCTCATTGCCGATTCTCAAAGCGTAGGGACATGGAATCAGGCTGGCAAGAGCACGAGAAGCAGTATGCGAACGGTTTCGCGAATATTCTTTTTTTTATTTTGCACGATAAAGGATGGATACCTACGGTATTCTCGAATCTTTTTATTCGGTTCGATCCGGTTCGATCCATCGAGTTAAATGCCATAGATCAGCATCTTTAATTCCTATGAAACTAATTGTCATTCGGAACGTATCTGAGCTTTAAATAAGACAATGAAACTGTTTCGTAGAATTTCCTAAAACTTTATTAAGAATTTCGAAGCGAATTTCAACGGGAACGAGCGTTAAAGCTAAGGAAGATAAAGTAAATTATGAAGCTTGTCACAATTGACAGTACTGGGACAGAACTCTCGTGAAACATAGAACATTATAAAGCTTTCGATCCCCTGTTAGTAGGGTGTAAATAATCGAGGACATGGGTTCGAGGGTTAATACTACGGCAAGACGAAAAAGAAGACAGGGGCACTTCTATCAAGGTAACTCTGTCGATCTTCTTCTCGACTTTGATGTAAGATATTGGATCTCTTTCAAAAAAATAAAAAACTAGAAAAAAGAAAAAGGATTAAATTAACGAAAATAAATGAAGAACTCTATCACGTTCATACTTTACATTTAATCTACAATCTTTTCAATATTCGAACAACGTTATCGTGTTGCTTTTCTATGTTGCGTTACACAAAGTAACCAGAAACGAGGCTAGAATGGAAAACTAGTTCGTAGTCTATTCAAACAGTTCCTGGTAGCTAACACGTTTGCCGAGATAAAAGTGTTCTTCCGAAGGAAATTTGAACAAACGTGTTCTGGTAAAAAGAGATTCACTCAAAGTGGTCACGGATTGTTAAAGGCTAGGTGTGATAAATTCGAAAATTGGAAACGAACGAAGCATCGTCCTTTATGTGTTCCTAGCGAATCGTTTTCAACAGATTCGTAAAACGTAGTGTCTCAATTGATATATATATATATGTGTATGGGCATAGATATATAAATATGTAAGTGCATTTAAAAAAAATCTGATATTCGCTTATTGATATTTCAATACTTTCTTTTTCTTTTTTTAGAATATTGATCTTTCAATTATATTGCTCACAATGTTTTGATGCCTTTAAATAAGATGTAGAAAATAAATCATTTTGATGATGTGGCACATTTGAAATTGACTAAAATGAACGGACAGAAGAACGTTCGAAGAACGGAAACGATCGAGGTGAATGACATGGGTTCGATGTTGTTACGGACCTTTCCGAAATGTTCGATCGATTTTACCCTCGCATTCCAGGAAACAGGAAGCTCTACGAATCGAGTTGACTTATGGCTTCGGACGTAGTTTCATTCGTATTCTACAATGCTTTGAAGATCTCAATATGCACATTGTTCTACGTCTCATGATTTAACTTCAAATAATCTTTCGAAATGAAATCGTATCTACTATTAGCCTCGTACAATTTCCGATAGATGGATATATTTATTATATAAAACGTTAGACGAAAGTCGAGTAATCAAGTCTTCTTTCAGTCCTTTCTCCTTCCTTCTCGCTGTTTATACTTTAATTTGAATTTTAATCGGATCAGGATGATCTGCTTGGGACGTAAAAAGCAAGATTAATTACGTCGATCAGACGTAAATCCAATGACAAGAGTCTTCATCGAAGGCCTACCAACGAACTTCACGACAAGATTATGAATATGCAATTTCGTTTAATGTTCGCGATAGAAATGGAGCAAGAGGAATATATAAGAGTACTTGGATTTCTCTTACCCATCGTCTTGGTATTTTTTTTAAGACTCGTCTAAGTTTGGATCTTTAGAAAAATAAAGATTTTCTAACGTTTCCATTTACTACATGGCTCAAGGGTATGAGAAAGAAACGATTAATGAAACGATTAACGATGGTACATTCGGAGCCAAAGCTTTTTCTTGAATTAGAGTCATGAAAGTGAAATATGGACGGAGCTGTCAAATGTCTAAAAGAAAAAAAAAGATTTTACGGCAACTACCTAAAAATTATTATAAAAAACCCTTTCCATTTTCTGGCGATTCTTATCGTACCAATTTATTTTCACGGTTATGAAAACTTAATGAAGATGTTAAGGCAATTTCTTAAGTTAACGTCTTCTCGTTAAAAAAGATCCTTATACTTTACGCTCGAATCGTTGCTTTCGTCATTCTGAATCTCTTAACGTTATGAATTCTTTTTATTTTTTTTTTTTTTCATTCTCTTGTCAATATTAATCGTACTCACCGTAATCCTCCTCGTAAATGATTCCCACCTTGGTCCAATTGAGAAATTCCATAACGTCCTGATAAGCGCCGTTGAGCAAACTTTGTGCGGGATGTAAATTGATACTGAATTCTTTCGCTTCTGCGTCCAGGTCCAGCCTGGCCTCGAGATGCGGAATGTCGAGTGCGTCGCAGATACTGTGTATATGTTGACCAAGTATCGGGTCCGAAGGTCCGAACACTGCCTGAACGCCGTGCTTGACCTGATGGCACGCTGAAACATCGATTTTTTACATTAAATTAGAACGTATCTATTTATAATACGAAGTGTTTATCTGCAATCTCGAATATTTAAACGTCGTTCATTTTTTATCACACATCCTACGAATAAAAAAAAATATTTATTCTGACACATATTACAATTAATCTTAATCTCAGATTATGATGTTTAAATATTGTTCATTTTTTATCATATCACGAATAAAGAAAAAAATATTTGTTCTGACACATATTACAAACGTTAATCTTAGATTATAATACTTAAACATTGTTACTTTTTTCATCATGTCATACGTGATAACAAAAGAAATATTTGTTATCACGTATATTACAAATTATTACGTAGGTAATTATTAATTATAATATCAATATATTCGACATCGTAGAAACCGGTTGACGTTCTATTAAACTAAATTTAACGTTTTGCTAAAACCGCCCTATGTACATCGTTCGATACGGTGCAATATCGCCTGCTCTACTTTAGCGAGGTTACTGCGGTCCAACATGAGAAACGTACTAGTAGATACGTACGTATATATACTTGTATAGGTATGTACATATTATGTATATATGTACATGCGTAGGTAGAGTACCCGATGACCGTCCGATATTCCAACATACGGAGGTTATCTTACACGAGTTGTAATGGTTGTTACTGGCGACCCAACTCTCATAAGTTGTACCGTTCATTCTCTGAATATAAGGAAAATGTCCAAATGGTAGATATTAAATTCATTTACTCCTGATTACGAGATTATTCAAATTAAACAACTCGAAAATCTTTTGTTAATTAATTTCATATATTTTAATGTAACAATTACTAATAATATCGTATTTACATGAATAGTTTTTATCATGATTATTATCTTTCGAAGAAGATCAAAATCTATTCGCCGGGAGCGATTCCATTTCCAATTCCGCGCACGTGTGTATGTGTATGTGTGTGCACGAGTGTGCCTGATACTTTTAATATCCGTTCGATCATAGGAGTCTTTTAAACTATTCGTTTATAAATTACGAGCGATCCGAATAAACGGAAAGAAAAATGGAATGGAGATCGGTAAAAGCATGACGCTTCAACGACGCTTCCTGTCGGGAATAAATTTTTTTTCCGTCGTTGAAGAATGTCAATGCCTATAACGTTATTACCTCAAGCGATATTGGTTGCACTAACCTCCTATTGGAAGCACAATGTTCAGCAATGTCGTCGTAAAACGTGAGCTCCTTTATTACTTTTTAATCCGTCGTTCAAATATTCAAAAAGGAGGAAATAATAATCCGAGCAAAGGCGTAGATTTTCTGATATTTGTATTTTCGTAATTATTATCTATTATAGTTATAATGTCAATGTCGAGCTATTAATAGCAATTTTATTACATTTTCAATGATTCTTCCTATCGTTTTCTTTCCTCCCAACTACTCTCTTTTTCGTGACCTTCATCAGGAGAAATCCAATTTCTCAAATCTGCAGGGAAGAAGACCGATAAATTCGAGATCTTCCCTAAGGACTCGCTCGAAGTAATCACGAGACTTCGTTTCGCTTGAAATTCTGATTTACGTGAGATTTTCTTGCGAATTGAAAGATGCGAGAACTAGTTTAGTTAGTATTATTTATTTCTACAACAGTACCGAATATACTCATATATACACCGGATATATACTTCATAATACACTGGAACGTTATTCAAGATTTAGGGGGATTTTCAGAATGTTCATTTTCTTTATACTCCGCTTTCTAGTTGTATGTATGTTAACCTTAGATTATAATCGTTAGTGTTCGCTTGGTAATTCTGTTCTCTGTAACGCTATATCACTTTGGCTTGCTTCTTCGCAAGTAATGGAAGTGAGACGAATGAGTCCATTCTGGTATGTCGCCTAGACGAAATTCTCCATGAAATTGTAGCCATCTTACCAATCGTCTTATCATTCATCTTGACTAAACTTTAACCTAACATTACGAAGTTATTTATCAGGTAAATTTTACAAAGAAACAAACGTAAAACTTATATTGGAATAATTTATTGTAAGAATTATAACGATTAAAATAGAAGTTGGAAACAGACAAAAATTTCAGGGAAAATTTTAACGACATTCTTAATTATTGAAAAAATAATTCAGTAAGTAAAAGATATTATAATAAATGAATAAACTGTCTCTTTCAAATAACCCTCAGATTGACATTGATTTAAGTATTAATTTAATTGAACAGTTAAATAGTAATTTAAACGCATGACGATTATTATATAGAAATCGCTTTCAATATAGCGATAAAATTTCCACGCTTGAAATGTCTCTGACGAACGAGCAGTTTATCTGTGTCACCTTCTCCGTATTTACATAGCACGAGAACGAGCTTAAATGTCTGTGCTGAGAAACGGAAACGCAGAATTCTCAAACGCAAATTGGCTCTACTTTTTACGTGCAACCTAGCGGTAATTTCTGTGGAATAACTTTCTCCGGCTAAACTTTCTCCACGTGGAAAAGCAGTCGTTCTTCTTCGTTCTGACAAAGCCCGCAGCTTCTCTCATTAAAATTACAAAGTATTTAGTCGGTTTAATCTCCTCCACCTTATGGAACGTGTTTCATCGTAATCTGCAAGTTGTAACTTAGGTATTTAGCATTTAAACCGTAATATTTCGTTTTAATGAAGTCTTATCTATCAATTGCTTGAGATTTACAAAATTAGCTTCGTGATTGAGTCTAAAATATATTGGTAAAATACAATGACATGAAGCAATTAATGTCAAACATTTCATAAAATCTCGATATACATAGATCGTTGGAGATTGAAATAACTTTCAGACAATTGTCTATGCTCTTTATTTCTTAAATATGTGGTACACTACACGGCTAAAGCACAACAATCATTATCTCGTCTTATGTTTTCAACGAGGAGAATTGAGAGGCATGGAGTGGAGTGGAGAGAAGGGGAGGGAAAGTATAGCGAAAGGAAGCAGAGAAGAGTGGAAATAAAACAACAGAAGAATATTATCCGACATGAACAGTCCCAACAAAAGATCTTCTTTTCGATTGAATATTTCTGAATTCCATTCAGAGTTAACGATCATTAAAAGTGTATTATCAAGAAAAAAAAGAATAAGAGATGTTCATCTATTTAAGGAATATCGCTATTGTTCTTTGATGTTTGATATTGTCAAATCAAATCTGAATTCATTCCTTTACATAGAATCAGAGTAATTGCGCGTTAAATCTTTTCCAACGTTAGACAGGAATCAATTCTACTCCATCCTAGCCGACGTCTTTCCAAGAGTCCCACAATTTCAGTCTGATTGAGCGAGTACTTTTCTGACTAGCATGGCGCTTCTTTTTCCCCCGTTTCTTTTTGTTTAAAAGGAACATCTCATTTCGTAACGCGTCCTATACATCGAGCGAAGAAAATATCAAGAGACGAAACATTTCATACGCTCGAAAGGAGAAGCTATTCTTTTAAGGTGTTTCAAACTTACTAAAGAAAATTGAAAGCTCTTACCTTCTCTTTCTATCTACGTTCTTTCTGTTCTTTCTTATACTTACTTCGCGATGTAAGAAATAAGATAGCTCTTCAAGTAAAAAAAAAAAAAAAAAAAAAAAAAAAATTGAAGTAAAAAAAAAAAAAATTGAAATAAAAAAAAAAAAAAGAAATGCACAAACGTATTCATAAGAACTCAATTTGGAAAAAATAGGAATATCTGTCGAAGTATGTTCCAAAATTAATTTCCTTTACAAATCAAACGTTTTATTTTTAAAAATGTTTCGAATTGACCGATCTGAAAATATTTATATTTATTTTCGATACTCCAAGTGTTTTTTCTTTTTTTTTTTTTTTTTTTATTCACGAGAAGTAAAGTCTTACCATAAGCAATTTAACAAATATTGAATATTTATCAGAGATTTTAAAATTCGAAAATTGATTATTATTTGTTACTCTTTCTATCTTTTGGGATTTGTCTTTTAAATGTTGTTCAGTTTTAATTCGTCGGTATTCTAATTAAATTTTATTTAATTCTATCAACGATTTCTAGATTTATTTCTTCCTGCGATGTACTATCACATTTTGACCCTTTATACTGTTCTCTTTACATTGTGTGTCTTCAAAGGCTTAGTCAACCATTCTATTTTCTCTATACTCCAACTTCCAACACACATTCAGAACTCAAAATTGAATTTCCTATTTCCTTAGTTTACCTCCTAAAACCTTTAAAAATGTCCTTCAATTTACTTCATGAGCTCAGTTTGCTTTTTATCACATGTAAGGCTTAACAAAACTGTTGTTTTTTTATAAAATGACGATATTTAGTTTTTGAGGAATTGTTTATAACGAAATTGTTTATAACGAAATTTTATATATATATTATATATGCATGAATTACATACATGGGTTTAGTTTTCAAAAAATTAGTTACGTCAATTGTTTATAAGAATTTGTTCATAAAAATTATTTATAATAAATTGTTCATAACAAATTGTTATAGATAATTTTTAAATAAACGTCAATTGTTTATAGAGATTATTTATAACAAATTATTAAATATATATTTACAATATATGCATAAATTATATATGGCCTTAGCTTTAAAAAAATTAGTTATGACAATTGTTTATAACAAATTGTTTATAACAAATTTTTAAATATATATACAATATGTACATGAATTATATATGGCCTTGAGCTTTTCAAAAATTAATCATGAGAATTGTTCATAACAAATTTTTTATAACAAATTATTTATAACAAATAGTTAAAAATGTATACAATATTTATATGAATTATATAATATTAATTTGTAAACAAATTTTTATCATATTAATTATTTATAACAAAGTGTTTATAACTTGTAAAACAAATAGTTGTATAAGCTTGTAAAATAAAGAAAAATTTTTCCTTTATAATGGTTTTTGTTTCAAGTCTCTACGACTCTTAATTTTGGAGATATCCCAATATTAGTAAATTGTATTTACTTTAGCACACTGACCTACATAATTTTTTTCAAAATAACATTGACATGGTGACTTATATAAATTTCTGGAATTCAGTTGTTTCTACTACTTACTACGGCTTGCGTACGCACGTACTCTACGTTACTACAGATAGCACGTGCTTATAGAGAATTATGAATGGCAAATTAAAAGGGACATATCTGCGGAACGGAAAATCACAGAGAGTTGAAACAGAAACCATTTTAAAGAGAAAAATACCCTCTTTTTATCTACGTACTCAGATACTACTCTTATAATAGGATCAACTATTTTAATAAATATACCTTCGTAAGATTGTCGCATATTTTAAAGCACATATTCGTTTTGACATATTTTGAACGAATTAAAAAAATAATCCGATAATTTTGGGACTACTTACGCTATAGTCACAGTACAATTTAAAAGCTTGAAAAATGATAACTGGTTGAATGAAGTATGACAGCTCGTATCGATCGATTTTATTGATTTTACATGATTTTACATGAGCCCTATTTCCGATATGTAAATATATTCGCTTATGTATTCATGTCCGTGGAAGTTTCAGACGGAAGATCGAAGATCGAGGGCCCTAGCAACATGAAGAAGCAGCAGTACTTGTGCGAGGGATCGGGAACAGAACCCTCAAGTGCTGCTCTCGAACACGTGACATACCGTTGTGGAGCACCTCGTTTCCACTAGCCGATATATGTTGCGTTACATCTATATGTACGGTATAAAACGCCTTACGTCATAATCGCTAGCAAAGGAAACGTTTTTCGGATGATCGATATTTTCACTTTTTTGAAGGACTAGCGTTAGGTAAAATTATAACGAAACAAACTTCTTACGAGAAATGTTTCAAAAATTGATTGGAAGAACGTAAACGCAGAATCCTTTGATGTTGAGAAGAAAGACTGAGCTGGTCGTCAAGGAAACTAGAAAGAGAAAGAAAGAAAGAAAGAAAGAAAGAAAGAAAGAAAGAGAAAAAGAGTGTGTGAGAGAGAAAGAGAGAGAGAGAAAGGAAAAGGTCGAACGACCGTTTTCTGGCTTCTAGCCACGAAACGAACCGCCGAATAATCGTTTGTTAGACTTTGCCTTGACTAACGAGGTTCAAGCTTCCACTCCCTCTAACAATTTTTGTCGCTGACGTTGTATGCTCCTCGTCTTAATGTTCCTTCGGTTCGCAGATTACTCAGGTCCAAGCAGGACGATATAAACCGTCAAATAAAATGCATACTATTTAGTCTCCTTAGATAACTCGATTTAATTTCGTTTCAATGAACGAACATTATCGTTTAACAAAAATATCGTCGATCGAAGGAACGACGATATCGAAACGAGTGCTGAAACGTTCTAGAATAATATTAATTCATAGGCAAACGAGCTAATCGAACAGTATATCGACTTAGAATGATTAAATATTCACAGAAGAACGATCGAGATGTTGGATCTTTTTCCGTTTAGATAATCGTAAAAAATAATTTTGAAAAAATGAAAACAATCTTGTATTAGCCTTTTAAATATTTTCAAATCATATTTTTTATATCGTTCAAATTTCTTCTCAAGTTCAAGTTACCGATTGATTCTATTGATATCAGATATATCTATGAAGTATTTCCGTAGGTATAAAGGACAAGAAATGAAAAGGAAGGAATAGGATGATAAAATGGTAAAAGGTACGGCGAGAAAAGCAAGAGCGTATAGTCACTTTGATGGAATTCAACAGCAAGAGATTGCGAAAGGAAATGATTTCGAACGTTCGACGATCCTAGAAAAAGAAAAGAATAAATTCACTTATCTGATTTTCTCACGGGATTGTATGTAACCGTACCGACATACAAAATGAAAACAAACCTCGCCAAAGGATTACCGGTTGATATTGAATTCTCACATAAATTCTCCGTTGGACGAGCTGTTTTTCGAGAATGAAAAAAATGGACATTTCATTGTCCATCCCTATTTTCCCTCGGAGCGTAGATAGAATTGGAAAGAGTTAGTGCAAATTATAATTTAAATAAATAAACGGTAACGAGTACATGTCTATATACAATTACATATACATATATAGACAATTATATATTTATATATATGTATGATCGAAAAACTTTTGCAATACGATTCAGTATACAATTCAATAAATTGAATTGGAACTTTTGAAATATACGTGCACGTTTCAAAAGTGTATAAAAAATATTTTTTCTTTTTTGAGCAAGAATACATGTAGGAATATTTGCTATTCATGTAAATTGAATCGTGCCTTTTGAGATATATCTAAACGTTTCAAGAGTGTATAATCATAAAACATTTTTTTCGATTTATTATTAGTCACAAACAATCCTTACGAAATAGCACGTATCCTACTTGCATTAATAACTCGTCGACCTCTCGGTCTAGATGAACGTACAAATAATATTCCCGAGCAACCCACGAGAAAATTAAATTCTATTGTGAAGCGCTTTTCTCGTTAAGAAAAATTTCTTTTACTTAAGAAAACCTTTCACCTTTAATTCGTCTCTAACGAATCGCTGCTATTACTTCTACAACGTAACGTCGTTTTGATTAAACAAAAAAGAAAGGAAAAAAAAAGAAAATAAAAAAGAAAAAGAAAGAAAACGACATAAATTATTACAATAAAAAGATTTTATTTCTTCCATTATTTTCTTACTCACCCTTTTTCGACGCGTGGAAAGAATCATCTTTGGGCACGTATTGAATATCGTACTCCAACGTTGTTTTTGGTAAAATAATTTTGTCCTTGTTGATCTTGTACACGGCGTACTTGAAAGCCAACTCCGTACTGCTATCCTTTTGGTCATGAGTGAAAATAGCTCCTGCAGATAAAAACATTAATATTACAATCAATGTATTCGTAATGATTGTAAGAAAATCATTGCCCATTCATTTTAACCCCTATTCCAATTTGGTTATCGATCGTACGAGAGCGTATTTAGCGCATGACTGTAACTGTCTATGTACGATCGACATACCATTGGCCATTGTCCTAAATAATCGTTGTAACGTTAAGCCCGCATCATTTTTCGCGTCAAGTTCGAATCCCAATCACGTTTTAGATATTGTCTTATGGATAATAAATTTTACCATGTTTTGCATAACTATAATCTCTCTCTTTCTCTCTTTCTCTCCCTCATTTTTTTTCATTTATTTTTGAAAAATGAACATTCGTTAAATTTCATATAAACGTGATGCAACTATAAATGTGCAAAGACATCGATTTTTTTTCTTTTTAAAATTCTCCTCTTTGAACACGAAGGTTTATCATGTTTCAAAGTGTACAACTTAACACGATCGGTTCGTAAATTTACTTTGAACGCAATCATGCTGTTTAAGACGTAAATGATCCTTCTCTGAAACGGAATGTTAAACGGCTTCGAAGTTACTTATTCTCACGATAGAATAGTCTTGCGAATTGGTTCACATCTTACAACAGCGATTTACATTTTAGCAATCCGTTTCGTGTGAAACAGCAGATTGCATGGGTTCACGAGTAGTTAAATAAATTTGTTTACGGATTGTAAAATCAATATTTAAAATATATACATATAATATTATGATGTCAAGGACTTGATTTTGTAATGTACATCTTACTTATTTCTCTTCTTTTACATTCAATTAAAAATAAGCAGGTTATTTGTAGGATCGACCAAAAGGAGCTGACATACTTTCGGAAAACTTACGGTTCTTAAAATAAAGATTTAACGCCGAGGAAACGTCAAAAGTGAAAGAGAATTTATTCGTACTAAAGAAAGAAAGAGAGAAAGAGAGAAAGAGAGAAAGAAAAAAAGAAAGAAAGAAAAAGGTTTATAAAAAAAAGCGTCAAGTGAAAGGGATCATCCAATCTAGAATTGTACTCTTTTTAAGTTTCCCACGAGTTCATCCTCGAATACGAAGGATCAAAGATACTAGTGATGCTTTCACAGGAAGAAAAAGGGAGTCGTTCGAAATGCATGCACATAGCTCGCGGTAGTTTGGAAAAAAGCGAACGATTAACTAGTCTATGACGATGGCTTTGATAGTTTTTTCCTATTTTTAAAAGACAGGAGAAAGCGAAAGAAAGAATACAACCGTTTGACCCAGAGCCTTCGGCGTTGCGGTTTCGACGAAGCGCAAAAGAGTAAACTTTGAGCATTAGCATGAAGAAGAACGCTGATGAATGGAAAAGAAGCTCTTGATGGAAAGCTATACGAAAAACTTGAATGATAGAACGAGGCTATACGTCGTCCTCATCGCAAACCGATTACTTCATGACGTCCTACGTTATTCTTTAGTCCTGACACCTCAGGCATATGCTTTTCAAGATGTTAGAAAAATATTGTCGTCTTTAAAAAAAAAAAAAAAAAAAAAAAAAAAAAAAAAAAAATCAAAATATGAGAAAAGAGATGTTCAAAATGATGAAAAAATAACGAATAGGATGTCAGTATCTTACAATTGTGAAGGATTGTGAAAATGTGTTAAAAGTATCTAACGAAGATCGTCGAGTAAGATAAAAAATTATTCAAATTACTTTCCTTCACGAGTGCGATATTAAAAGTAAGTATACATAGACGGTTGAGTAGTCAAATTTACAAATCTTAGAAGAAACGTAAAATATTTTTTATTTTAAGAGAAATCACGAAAATCGTTATTTTTTAGGAGATATTTCTCTTTTGAAAATGTTTCTTGAGAACGATTATTATCACGATCTTCTTTCGCACTTGTACTTTTGTTTCTACAAATTTCTAGTAAATTTTTTCTAGGAATTTTTTTTAATAATTAATGTTCACATCAATATAACGATATTAATCGTTCGAACTTGATCGACATTGTATTAGTAGAAAACGAAAAAAAAAAAAAAAAACAAACAAATAGAAATGGAAACAATTCGGGTTATTATTATAGAAAGTTGAAGTTTGAAAAAACTCGTGTCCTGCTTAATAAAAGAGACTGTACAGTCGTTAGCCGTTTTCGTGACCACGCACGTCCGCAACGGGGTTTTGCATTTAGTTTAACAAGCCAAAAATATATAGGTACAGTTATTTCCGTGGGTCGGGTTGTGTGCGACGCGACGTCCGTGCGATATGACGTGAAACTGCAACGATTTCAGCTTGTACTTTCTGTCTCACTCTTTTTTTTTTACCACCTACATACTGGATTCCTCGTTATACGTGACACAAATGTATTGTATTTTCAATAGTTCTTCTGACACTCTTGCGAACTATATCCATATGTCGGTCAAATACGAGTTTCGTTGTTAAATATCCAAGGCAATAAATAAACAAAATAAATGAATGAAGTAAATTGCGATCGTATTGCCACGATTAGTTTTAGGCAATTTACATAACTACTGGAGCTATTATTACAAAGTATTGCTACATAAATGTTCGAAATTGTTGGGGCGAAAATTCTTGATAAAAAAAAAAAAAAAAAAAAAAAAAAATAAATTAAATTAAAATAAAGTAAAAAGTATTTTTCTTTCTTTTCTCTCTGATTAACAAGCAGAAAATATTTTGAAAAATTAATTTGAATGATAAGAGAATTTGAGAGAAATGAAACGATCGATTGACAATAGATCATATAAGAATAACCTTCGAAAAGAAAGATAGATTAAGAATCAACGTTAGTTATCGAATTCTTTCAACGCTTACCACCATAAATCCATCATTTTTCTTTTTCTTTTTCATTCTCCCTTGACGTTCTTTCACCACTCGTTTCGTGTCGTAGCTAACTAATCCATTTATCCGTACATTTAACGTACGTACGTACATACAAGTAGAATCGGTTCTTTTCTAGTCTTGAAAGCTCAAATAGACTTCCTTCACTCACACAATCACATGCACACACACACACATACACACACTTTCTCTCTCTCTCTCTCTCTCTCTCTCTCTCTCTCTCTCTCTCTCTCTCTCTCTCTCTCTCTCTCTCTCTCTCTCTCTCTATCTTTTTTCTTTAACGCGTTAAGCGCTCCGTTTCTTTTCCTTTCTTCGCCAGCAACACAGACGACTTCTTTTGATGCGATGCTTTCGAATACCGTCTGTCCATCGTGTAATGCTTTCATTTAATCATTAGCAACGTTTAACTCGAAAGAGTGGAGAGTACAAACGAGCTTTGAAAAAGGGCGAAGACTACAACTAGTCTAATGATCTTTACCTATATCTATATATTGTAGAACTATACGTAAACCTTCTATCTATATACGTGTATGTATATGTGTATATATATGCGTACATATGTTTGTGTATGTATGTGTGTGTGTGTATGTGTGTGTGTGTGTGTGTGTGGTTTTTAAAGAAAAGAACATTCTCTTCCCGGAAGCTTTTATCTTATTGCGTCCTTTTGCCTCTTTCGCTTTTATTATCATCCCTTCGTGTCTCGAATATCAACGAATTGTTCATGCGGATATTTCAACGTGAATATTGCACGTTTAAATATCATCTTATAATCTTCAAGGATCATCTCAATTATCTTAAATATCAAAAAATTTATGATTCATAATCAATAATCATATTGGCTAGGAGAACTATTTATTCAGTTTAAATTAAATAAATATATGTATATCTACGTCGATTATTTCTATGGAGAATGAGAACATTCGAAGACATTAGAACAATGAGTTTTAGATTCTAAAAAAATAGATCGAAAGTAATCGAAGATCCGCAGATTGGCCAACCTCATGGATATCCTCATTTTTACGTTTATCCCCGAACCATTTTCAAGTCGATAGAGGACAATCCCGGTGGATTGAGGAATATCGAACGGATCTATACTACGCTACTATCTACATGGGTTAATTCCGCTAATTTCTCACGGGTACAAACCGAGAGTGTATCGTGATACATTTATCGGTGAAAACTCGAATTGAACTCACTCGAACTTTCCATGAAAAATCTTTTTCGATTGCGACGATGGATACGGTTATTACCTTGGACTTTATTTTTGAAAGAAATAAAAGCGAAATATAGAGGATATACTACTTGAATTAAATCGATTATTCGATATACTAATATAAAAATTAATAAATTTTATTCTTCTGTGAATAAGAAAATTAAACTAGTAAGTAATGTATGATTTTCTTTTATTTTCTTTTTCTTTTATTATTATTATTATTATTATTATTATTATTATTATTATTATTATTATTATTATTATTATTATTATTATTATTATTATCCTCTTTTGATAAACATTCATATCACTGAATTTTTTCGTTTGTGCCTCGTTTCTCTTCCTTGTCAATAGCAATCAAAGTTCGTTTTACTTTGTGTTGCAACGCAATAAATTTCAACTCGACTCTTTCCCGTTTCTTCCAGAATAGGTCGGATGAAGTTTCCTACCAGAACAATCTTTCCCTGAGGGTGGACAAGTTTTTGTATCGTTCCATGCCTAACTTACGCAAACTTTCTTTGGCTCTTTTGAAATGCCACAAATTGTTTTAACCGATGAAGAGGGAAAGTGTCTCCTTTTCTCTTTATCTCTTTCTTTCTGTCTCTCTCTCTCTCTCTCTCTCTCTCTCTCTCTCTCTCTCTCTTTTTCTCTTTCTTTCTCTTTTTCTTTCTCTCTCTCTCTTTCCTTCTCTCTCTGACTACGAAAGAAGCAATTAACTTTGATTTAATTTCTACCGACGAACTTTCTGCAATAATTTATTTCTAATTAAACATTTATATACATATTTCTAAAATAAAATATTCATTGATTCTACGCGATATTTATCGATCAACGTTATATAGCTAAATTTCGATTCAAACCTGAAACTCATATATACACTCATGGAAGTATAAAACTTTTAAAATGTTAATTCTACTCGGTCATAAAATTATATATATATATATATATA